CCTCCACTAAAGTTTTTTTTTTTTTTTTTTGAGATGGAGTTTCACTCTTGTTTCCCAAGCTAGAGTGCAATGGAGTGATCTCAGCTCACTGCAATCTGTGTCTCCCAGGTTCAAGTGATTCTCCTGCCTCAGCCTCCCGAGTAGCTGGGATCACAGATGCCCACCACCACACTTGGCTAATATTTTGTATTTTTAGTAGAGACAGGGTTTCACCATGTTGGCCAGGCTGGTTTTGAACTTCTGACCTCAGGTGATTCACCTGCCTTGGCCTCCCAAAATGCTGGAATTACAGGCATGAACCACCACACCTGGCCTCTACCATACTCTTAAGCCTTGAAGTCCTCTGCTGGATCCTCAGCATTTAGCTAGCAGATGAGAAAAGAGAGAAAAATCATGGTGGATTGCATGAAAGGCCCAGGCCAGGCATGGAAGTGGTGAACATGGCTTCTGACCCACATCTCATAACCAGAACTTAGGGACAAGGCTCAAGGTAACTGCAAGGAAGTCTGGGAAATGTAGTCTAGTTGTGTGTCCAGGAGAAAGATGAAAATGGATTGGTGGGTGCCTGGCTTGTCTCTTACACGTAAATGGATAGACTGTGTTAAAAGAAAAACCTTAGACAAATCAAATTTAAAGAGTTCATTTGAGCAAAGTACAATTCATGAATTGGGCAGCCCCTAAACCAGAATTGGTTTGTAGAGATTCCAGTGCTGCCTTGTGGTTGAAGATTTATGAACAGGAAAAGGACAGTGAGTACAGAAAATGGAAGTGAGGCACAGAAACAGCCCGATTGGTTACAGGTCAGCATTTGCCTTACTTGAACACAATTTGAACAGTTAGCCACCTTTGATTGGCTGAAAGTCAGTGCTTGTGCTAGAGTTAGAATCCATTGTCTATACATCCGGTTAGGTTACAGTTCACTATGTACAGAGAAATCTTTAGACCAAATTTACAAGGAGACCACTTTAGGTTAAACTTAATTTAACAAGTTAAACATTTTCATTATGTCAAATTTTAATGTCTTTACTTGGCACCTGTGCAATATCTGGTTCCTGTTTATAAAAGACTTTGCTTATGCTGTATTCTTTCTCACTGAAAATTAATTTTTCATATTTCTGTTTATTCAGAATACTCTCATTTTTGCTCTTGTTATTTCTGGTTATTCTATTCTTTTTTTTTCCCAAAATTCTCTGCCTCCTATTTTGCAGACTTGCATTTCAGTCAGAATGCATTCCATCTCTCCTCCAGTGCCTCAGTGGATTTTTTTTCTGTTTCTTAGAGTTCTTACATAGGGGTCAGCTATTTTTATGTAAGGTAAAACTTCTAAACTTTGCAGTAAGTGATCAAACATTAAATTATTGGATTCATTAAATAAAATCCCAGAAACACACACAACTCATGGAAACACTTCAGTGTACTATGAGGTCAAAGCCAGCAACTTGTGTTTAGGGAGTTAGTTACCTGCTTTGACCAGGAGTTGCAGCAGTCATAGCTTAATTTTTAAAAGATTAAGTAAATAAATGCTCAGAAACACATATAATTCTTGACAGTCATTATGTGCTCATCAACTGTCATTGCTGATGTTTAAAAATTAACCAGCATGATTTTCATGTGATCCTGGCACGATTAGGTCAAAACCACACCCAGCTTGGGGAAACATCCTTGAGCATTTTAGATATTTTGATATTATCTTTTCCATTGTTGTCATTAACGTCAGATCAACAAGGTGCTTAGGGACACATTAGGCCACAGCTGTTGCAATTAATTTCACCCTTATGGCCTCAAGAGACAAGCCCCAGCAGTGGCCAGCTTAGTCCTAGGAGTGACAAGCCCTAACAGGACACTTTGGCATGGTGTTCTGTGGCTCTCTCCCTGAAGACAATCGGTAGCTTGATCAGGTGGGGCTGGGGCCGACCCTGTCCTCGGGCTGGGGCTGGGCTGGGGCTGGCTGAGTGGTGTCAGTCTCTTCAATGCAAGGCTTTTCATTGGCTTAGCTGTACCTCTTGCAATTACTCTGGCTGGGTGACTCGACTTTAAGCAAAGTGAAACAGTCTGGGAACCACAAACAGGCTGCCTGACAATTAGCTGTCATTTTATAAGAGTGGGTCTTAGGACCATCAGTTAGCATTTTCTAGGAAGGCAACTACCTGCTCACCATCACCGCCAGCAGTGAGTGGTGGCTGAAGCCCTTCCATGGTAGACCAAGTGCTGTAATGATTGATTTTGCTGAAAATCGTGACCCTAATCTGCCCAAAATTGGATCAGTGTTCTACTACTCACATCATGTCACACAAATGGTGTGTAATAGCTTTGTTGTTTTTTTCAACTTTGTTGAAGTGACCTATTTTATGGTTTGCTTTGAGGCCGGAATTAGACTTTTAAGTGCTATATGAAAAGAAATCTAAGCAAAATTAATCTGAACTGATTTGATTATCTGCTGAATTTAAATACATTTTTCTTACATTGTTCTTGCCTCAGTGGAGTAATTAATTAGTAATTCCATCAGGTGTTTGTGGAAAAAAAACAAGGTTTGGGGGTAATCCCCCGCCAAACAAATGCTCAAAATTAGGAATAAGAGCTCTTCATTTTATAACCTATCTCTCTATAAATGTAAACTTTGTTCTAATGTAGCCAAGGACTTGGGGCAAAGTAGGAAATCAGGGGAAATGGAGAGTGAGATTTTAGCAAACAGGTTCACAATGTGTGCCAAGCTATGAAGGAGGGGCGGTGGGGAGGAGGGCACCGTGAGTGTTGGGACTTAAACAGATTTCTTCTTTGTGGTTTCTTTCTAGATGGAGTCTGCTTGCTCTGCCTCTGGATTGTAAGACATAGTCATTCAGCTCCTATTAAACATGTCACTGCTAACAGTGAGCAAAAATAGAAATTGCTCTCAGTTGAAAAGGCAGGGAGACAAGTAGGAAAATTTGGGTTGGTCTAATGGAACCTCACCCACTCCTAATGTTCTCCATACCAACTTAGCAAGTGTCTGTAAGCAAAATGCTGTGAATACGGACATACATCAGGAATGGGCACAGGATTGCAGGTCTGGCTTTAAAAGTACATGATATTGTACGCGACCCCAGCTTGGAAAAAAAATATGAAAGAAGGAGGAGACACACCAAAGTGTTAGGTGATTATGAGTGGGATATAAAGTAATAGGCTTATTCTTTATATTTTTCTAAGTTTCCATTTTTTCTATAGCAGTACACACACACACACACACACACACACACACACACGCGCGCGCGCTCAAAAGCAATAACGAAAACGTTAGAAAGCTATCTGAGAATAAATAAAGAGAAACTGTCCTTGAGGAATCTTGGCTTTCAGAAGCAAAGAAGTTGGGGAAAGATCTGCTCTTCCCCAACCTGTGAATAAAATCTTCATCCAGTAAAGCAGAACTGTGGTGAAAGGAAACAAAAATATGCTTCTGGTTTTCCTCTAGTCAGATTAAGTGCACAGACTCTGGAGCCAGGTTGCCTGGAATGAAATCCAGAACTGCCAATTACTAGCTAATTAATCCCTCAGAGCCTCAGTTCCCTCATTGGTAAGATCAGGGATGAAAATAGCACCGAATTTATGAAGTTATTTTGAAAATGAAATGACTAATTTGTGTATCCTTAAAATGGTGGCTGGCACATGATAAGTGGTAAATAAACCTTAGGTATTTATTTCAATAATAATCTTATTAATGTTATCATTACCAAGTAGAGCTTATTGAAACAGTGCCACAGTCTACTACTGTATAGATGTTGCTAACTCATTAACATTGAATTTTTGAAAATGGGTACAATAATATTTACCTTGCAATTGCTGTTTATAGAATCAGAGCTAATGCAAGTCAAGTGCCAAGAATAGTCTCAATGGATTTTGAGAAATGGTTAATATTATTTCTAATTTAAGTGAATATGTTTTGAGCCAAAAATGTTCAAGCACTTACTATGTGATGGGCATTGTGTTCATCACTTTATGGCCCAGAATGTGGTCTATCTTACTGCATGCTCCATGTAAGCTTGAGAATAATATGTATCTGTTGTTGGACAGAATATTCTATAAATGTTAATTAGATCAAGTTGATTGACAGTGTTGTTCAGGTCAACTCTATCCTTACCGATTTTCTGCTGGCTGGATCTGTCAATTACTGACAGAGGGATGTTGAAGTCTCCAACTCTAATAGCAGATTTGTCTCTTTTATCTTTCAGTTCTATCCATTCTTGCTTTGTGTATTTTGATGCTCTGTATTAGTTTGTTCATCACTTTTTATTCATTTCTTCATGTAATTTTCACAAAATCAATATGAGGCATGAGTTAGTGTAAGATGTGCAAATTTATGTTAGTGAAATAAAGAGTTTGTCCAATGTCATTATAGGTGGTAAATGGCAGGGCCACGTTTTGAACCCATGTCTGTCATAGACCATTACCATCTAAGCAACCAAGTCCATCACTCAATATAATGCCATAGGCCAGAGATTTTAGCTGCTGAAAAATGGAAAATAAAGTATATGACATATATATAAAGTATGGGCTGTATTCATACAATAGTGGTTATTTAAAATATGGAATAAGGAGAAAAAACTAAGCAGTAAGTTTCACCTGATTTGGGTTGAGGATCGAGGAAGTGATATAAGATGCAGCTCTCAACGTGGAACTGAGTGAGTGTGTCCCTATATGCATTTTTTTCTCCTACCTGGCTCAGATGTCTTCAACTGACCTTGTATTAATTGGGTCCTTCTTTCATACAGTCTCAGGGGACTGTATAGATTCATGGGGGAGACCCATCAGCTCCAGTGGGGCTGGCTGCCTCAGGAAGTGGAAGTTCAGCTATGGCAGGTAGAGACATAGCTGAGATGTTTTTTTCCCCAAGGATTGGCCTATGGTTGGACCGCTCAGGGAAATTCTGAGTTTTTTCTTTTGGGGACCATGGGGTGGAGCTGGAGAAGAAGGGTCATGAATCAGGATTTGGCTGGGCAGGCTCTGAGTCACGTATCTTCTTTCTACAGATAGCAGCCAGCGTGCCCGGAGAATAGGAAGCTACATCACCAACATTTCCAGCTGTTAGCATCAGGGTGTTAGCTGGTAGTTTTCCCTTCAGCACCAATTAATGTTCACCTGGATGTTTTGATTTGAATACTTTTGAAATCTCTTCTGTCAAGGTACTACTTAGCAGTTTAGTTGCTACAAGAAACTGTCTATATTTATGTCTAAAAAGTTTTACAGTGCCTTTTAAAATGTTCTCACCAAACCACTCAAGATTGTATCAGCAGTAAGTGTGTCATCCACACGAATATCCGTGGAGTCTCACCATGAATAACGTGATTAAGGAGCATAATGTGTGGACGCCCAGCCCATCGGGAGCTTCATCAGCCTGACTCTCAGGTGAGTTCCTGGGAGGGAGCAGCATCAACACCCTTCAAGATGGCCTCTGTCTTGCCAAGTATTTTTTTCTGCCAATAGTAGGACCTACTATGGGAGAAAGTGGAAAGATTATTATTTTTTAATTAATAAAATTTCTTATTTAGAGCAGTTTTAGATTCACAGTAAAATAGAGCAAAGAGCACAGAGATTTCTCATATGCCCTTGCTCCCACACATGAACCACCTCCCCCAGTACAGACACCTGATATCACAGTGGTACATTTGTTATACTTGATCAACCCAGATTGGCACATTATCATCCAAAGTTCATAGTTTTTTTTAGGGTCCACTCTTGATGGTGTACATTCTATGGGTTTTGGCTAATGTGTAATAGTGTGTACCCATCATTATAATATCAAACAGAAAGTTCTACTGCCCTAAATGTCCTCTGTGTTCTGCTTATTCATCCCTCCCTCCCACCTACAGTTGAAGGGTCCTAACATTTTATTTAGAATATATATATATATCTTTCTTTCTTTCTTCTTCTTCTTTTTTTTTCTTCTTTGAGATGGAGTCTCGCTCTGTCGTCCAGGCTGGAGTGCAGTATAGTGGCACGATCTCAGCTCACTGCAGCCACTACCTCCCAGATTCCAGCAATTCTCCTGCTTCAGCATCCCGGGTAGCTGGGATTACAAGCATGTGCCACCATGCCTGGCTAATTTTTGTATTTTTAGTAAAGATGGGGTTTCACCATGTTGGCCAGGCTGGTCCCGAATTCCTGACTTCAGGTGATCTGCCTGCCTTGGCCTCCTGAAGTGCTGGAATTATAGGTATGAACCACCATGCCCAGACCAGAATATATGTATTTCTTTCTTTGTTTTGAAATCGAGTTTTACTTTGTCACCTAGGCTGAAATACAGTGGCACAATCTCAGCTCACTGCCACCTCAGCCTCCTGGGTTAGAACAATTCTCCTGTCTCAGCCTCCCAAGTAGCTGGGGTTACAGGTGCTTGCCACGACATCTGGCTAATTTTTGTATTTTTAGTAGAGACGGGTTTTTACCATCTTGGCCAGTCTGGTCTTGAACTCCTGACCTTGTGATCTACTTGCCTCAGCCTCCCAAAGTGCTGAGATTGCAGGCGTGAGCCACTGTACCCGGCTATGAATATATATATTTCTTTAATGGGCTGAGGAAATTTCTCCCTAGAGAGAAGATCTCAGGTATCTTTCTGGTTACCCATCCTCCTCTCCTTTCAGCCTCAGAGGAGGAGGTGGTGGCGATTGGTGGTGATAGAGAGAGAAGATGAGAATCTCCCATCATTTTCCGTAACTGCTCTGCTCTCTCTGATCTCTCAGCCATCTTGGTCCAGGGAAGGCAAATTTTTATCCCTTGTAAAATCTGACAAAAGAGACTTTACGAAGCAAACAAAGATAAACACTCCAACCTCTCTCCAACTCCCCAGAACAGGAAAAAAAAGAAAAAGGAAACTCTAAAGATTGACACATTTGCAGGAGCCTGTTTCTATTTACAAGCACAGCTAAGTCTGGACAGGGCCTGCCTCCTCTGGCTCCCTTTATAGAGCTTGCCCCACAGTCCCACCTGTCCTCATCCTTTTTTCCATAAATTCTGCTAACTTTGAATATAAGGTAAAAAACTCAGGCACCTGTTACTACAGATTTACAATAAAAACAGCAGCAACAACCAAACACTTGAACCAGCAGCAACAATAGAAGGTCAGAAGAAGCAGGTCACTCCTCACAGGTCCTTCTCTGGAATGGAAAAGCCAAAGTCATCAGCATGTGCCTTTTTTCACAGTGTGACCCAAGTTTTCTGCTCTTGTCATAGTCGATTCAAAGACTTTATGGCAAAACGTGTAACCTTATGTGTAAAGCTGACATTTACAAGCACTCACTACATGAGTGCGCTCTGCCGAGCACCCCGTTCTAATTTCCTCATGAAGTTTCACGGTATCCCTCTGGGGTCTGGGAAGAGATGTCCATGATTGGTTTTGCCACTTTATAGTTGAGTAAATAGAGGCATAAAGCAGTTGGGGAACTTGGACAGAGTCGGCAGGGCCGATCCATTGTAGACTTAGGTTTTGAACCAGATCAGTCAGTCTTTTTGAACTGAACCAGTCTGAGTTTGCACTCTTAATGCTACAAGGTGGTGGCATGGTCTGTTAAGGTGGTGCTGTACAGGGAAGGTCACTGAGGTTAAAGTTGAGAACTCTGGACCTGGAAGAAGCTGATGGAGATCTTATCTAGCAACTCTGGTTTCTGTTACTTTATTCTTTTGTTCCCCCCTCTCCAACACAGACATCTTAGCAGGACCATCTTAGCTACTAATTCGTGGAGGCCTGTGAGCTAAACATGCCACACTCCTTGTTCAAAAATGATTAAACGTTTCCAAATGGAGACCGTGAAGGTGGCATTGCATCTAGCCCTGATTTAAGTTGGTTAGTCTGTTCTTCCGGCATTCTGTCTCTGGAACACTCTAAAGAAACCCCATAGGTGAGGCCCCCTGCCCCAGAGCAGGAGGGTCCAGGAGATGGGTCTCTAGATATTGCCAAGTTCCTATTGGTCCTAGTTGCCTGTGGCCCAAATCAATGAGGCATGTTCACGTTGCCATAATCACGCAGGCAAAGTTATGCTGCACACATTTTAAACTGAAACAGTTAATACAGTTTTTGTTTCTAGTAAATAGTTGGCAATATCTAATTCAACGGACTCTGGATAAATGGCCCAACTTTATGGCTCCCCAAATACAGTAGTCCTCCCTTATCTGCAGTTTCGTTTTCTGAAGATGAGGGGGAAAGGGGTTACTATATTTGGGGAGGCATCAAGTTGGCCATTTACCTGCAGTCAACCAAATCCAAAAATATTCAATAGAATATTCCAGAAACAAACAGTTCTTAAGTTTTAAATTGCACACTGCTCTGAGTAGCACGTTGAAATCTCTTGCCATCCTTCTCCCTCCTGCCTGGGAAGTGAGTCATAGCTTTGTCCAGTGTATCCATGCTGCCTATGCTACCCACCCGTTAGTCAATCAGCAGCCATCTCAGTTATCAGATCAACTACCTGGTGTCAGAGGGCCTGTGTTCCAGTGACCCTTATTTAACTTAACAATGGCCCCAAAGCACAGGAATAGTGATGCTGACATGTTGTAAATGTTCTATTTTATTATCATCTATTGTTGTTAATCTCTTACCGTGCCTAATTTATAAATTGAACTTTATGTATGTACAGGGAAAAACAGTATATATAGGGTTCAGTATTACCTGTGGTTTCAGGCAACCACTGGAAATCATGGAACATATCCCCCAAAGATAAGGGCAATAGCTTATAGCTAAAAGAATAACATACACATCCACTTATTATATTTAGTTTATGCAAAATTTCTTTGGGTACATAAAGAAAGGCAGTTTTGAGGGCAGTTGTCCAGGCTCTGAGTTTTTCTGTAGGGCTGAGAGGGTGGTTTAAGGCACCCGGAGGCATTCTTACAGGCAAAGCCTTAGGCAAGCACCAGCTTTGCTCCAAGGAAGGGTGTCTTCTGCCAAGACAAGACCCGGGAAGGGTGTGGGCCCTACCCAGTAGGCGAGGCTTCAGGGCAGACTTCAGGCCTAACGGGCAGCTGGGTCAGAGTCTCCCTGTGCAAGGCAAACTGGTCAGGGGAGATTGCAGAAGGCCTGCAGGGACGTGCTTCAAAGCAGTCGATCCACACTGCCAGGGTGGAGACCCCTAAGGGTCTCAGGAGACCAGGGCAGGACCTGGGTGGAGTCAGATCCACAGACGAAGATCTGTAGGCCCTACAGCTAATATCATATTTAACAGGGATGGAACAGCAGTATGTGCCAGGCACAGTTCTCTAGGCATTTGGTGTGCATTAATTAATTCATTGGTTCTTAAACTTGAGTATGCATCAGAATCAACGCTTGTTAAAACACAGATGGCTAGGCCACCTCCAGAGTTTCTGATTCAATAGCTTGTGTGCTCTCTCTCTCTTCTTTTCTTTCTAAAGCTGTCTATCCCTCATGTCTTGTTTGGGTCACTCCCTTGCCAGGACACCTTCCCTGCCCATGCTAGCTCTCAGCTATTTCTCCTCCAAACTCTTCTACCTAAAGTATGTGGATTGAGGGCATGACTAGATCTAGGTTTGAATCCTGGCTCTACCACTTACTGGTTCTATGACCTCAAACAAGTGATTTTATTGTTCTGTGCCTCCATTTTTCTTATATGAAAAATGGGACTGATACTACCTACTTCATAGAATTGTTATAATGATTAAATGAGTATATATGTGCTATAATAGTATAAGAAATGTTTTATATGTATATATAACATTTATATATGTATAATGCATACTGCATATAATTTGTAGAATAGTGTAAGAAGGTAAATTTTACTTCTCATTTAGCTGTGATGTTATTTCCTTATCCTTTGTGAAAATTAGAATTGTAATAGTTAATACATATTGAAGTGTCTTTACTATTTTTTTTTTGAGACAAGTCTCACTCTGTGGCCCAGGTTGGAGTGTAGTGGAGCGACCTCGGCTCACTGCAACCTCTGATTCCCGGGGTTCAAGCGATTCTCCTGCCTCAGCCTCCCAAGAAGCTGGGATTACAGGCACCCACCACCACACACAGCTAATTTTTGTATTTTAATAGAGATGGGGTTTCCCCATGTTAGTCAGACTGGTCTCAATCTCCTGACCTCAGGTGATCCAACCACCTTGGCCTCCCAAAGTGCTGGGATTACAGGTGTGAGCCACCATGCTTGGCCACATCTTTACTGTTAAATCCTATAGTGATGGGATCTGAGAAGAGAATCCAGGATAGGAAGTGAGGGAGAGGATGCTGGAGAAGGGGACAGAGCTACTAACCCAGGCAGGAAGGTGTTGGCCATTCATTGGGTGAAGGAATGCCAATCATGTCTGCTCTGCCAATGAGCAGCTCATTAGAGGCTTCTTTCAGAAAAGACAGAGGAAGTGAAAGGAGCAGATCCTGGAGAAGAGACTTTAAAAAT